CCAAACTGAATAAAACAACTCACTGGACAAACCACAAAGCCCTTTGGACACACCAACATCCTCTCATATGTTGCACTGGGTATGTGTCAAAGGAATTCAGCCCCCCGGAAAATGGGCGAATTCTCTTTTTGGCTTCCTTTTACTCAGTTGCCCCCAAAAAGAAAGGTGCTCACATTTGGGGCCATGACTAAACATGGCCTACAATGGGGAAACCAAACAGGTCAAATCCGGTCGATTCGCTTTGGGTCATCAGTCTACACCCGCAAACCCGCCCCCTCCACGAAAGCCACGTGAACACTCCCAAGGCTTCGCTGCGCCGGGCGCCAAGCATAGGATCAAACGGGCGTGCCAAAGGTCCCATGCCTGCGAGTCGATTGCCTGGACCTCAAATGGTTGGTGGCTTTAGCTGGAACTTTCAGACTCTGTTCTATATGGGGTGTTGTCTTGGTTTTTGTAAGGCACCACCTTGTTGGGGAGGTCCCAGCTAAAGAAGACACACACGCAAACCCCCCACCCTAACATAACAACTTGAACGATTGCCCCTGCCCCTCCTTACAGTCTGGGAACAGGTATTTCTGCGTCCAGGCGTGTTTGGAGAAAATTGCAAGGTCAAGCTAGTCAACTGATTTTTGCTGCTTAACAATCGATCGGTGGTGTTGTTTGCCGTTCACCAAAAGCTGTTGAATATGCATGCATTGCTCAAAGGCGTTTTGGGGGACCCACCGCGTCTTTGTTGCAGCATAGACAACAAATAGTGCCACTTCAATCAGCGGCGGAAATTGAGCGCCCCTGGCTGGCGAAGCCCCGATCCAAAAACTGATGAGACCCCGAAATGTCCATGTTAGCGGACCCAGCGAAGCCTACCCAGGGTTCGGCTACGACCGCGAGTGCTTGCCTGCCCCACATGGACGGCAAAGACGGGGCTTTTTTCGAGCCAAACTGCAGCCCGGCAGCGCATCTTTTCCATGCAGAAAGGAGGGGGGTTGTACCTCCGCATGTGGAAAGTGTGTGGGTCCCGAAGGGTGCCCCCTACTGTGGACGGTTGCGAAATTCCGCACCACCTTGAGACCATGGTTGAAACCATTGTTCCTTGAAGTCAGGGTTTCTGAACGGTGGGTGCGAAATGGATCCTTTTTCGTGGGTCTGCCCACTCAGAGGTTCACCTGGCAAGGTGCAGCGTTGCAACCGACACCTGAGGTGCAGCCCTTGGGTTGGTGAACCAAGTCAAACCAACTGTTCTGTGGGCCCGGTGGCTCGTTTTAGGAAAGATCGAGTCGATTTCACTCCTGTGGGTCATGGTGGTTCCGAGCCCTGAACCTTTCCCTTGGATCTCGATGAGAACGGAGGTTCAGCCCGAAGGAAGGTTCTAACCCATGGTAAGTGGTTGGTAGCTGGGATATGCTGGGATCAGTTGCATCACAACCATGGTGAGATCAAAACACATTTTTTGGAGGTTGCAGGAAATCCCGAGTCAACAGCTGCTGGCGTCCAATGATTTACTGGCACTCTACTGGGTCCATTGCAGTGACACTTGAAAGAGAACCGCCCCAGAAAGCAGCAACACAATTGAACCTCTCCTCAAATTGGTCCCCTCACGTACCCAAAGGATATGGAAATACAAGGTTAACCTTTGGAGCCATGACTAAAAATGAGAACCCAAAACGGGGGAAACACAGGAAGGTAATTTCAGGTCAATTCGCTTTGTCCCTTGGTGACTTGCTCCCAAGAAGAAAACAACACATGCAACCTATGGTCTCCTTTGTTCGGGAATCCCCAAAACCGCTTTAATCAACAAACACCAAGACTCGGAAATTCATTCCCTTCCTATCGCACCAGCAAGCTATGACGTCCATTGAACATTCCATTTCGCCATTTGAACCATCCCCTATGGTTTCCCATCAGGGAATCCCCTTCCTGTTTTGTTCCCACGACCCTGGGTCATTCCTATCGCACCAGCAATCTCTCAGATGCCCAGTGGATTTCCATGGTTTAAATAGAATCGGCACCCTTTCTTGTTGGCAGAGTTTTTATTGGAATCGGAAACCTTACCCAAAAAAGGTTGCGCTTTTATTGGAACCGGAACCCTTACCCAAAAAAGGTTGCGGTTTTTATTGGAACCGGAACCCTTACCCAAAAAAGGTTGCGTTTTTCTCGGAACCGGAACCCTTACCCAACAAAAAGTTGAGAAAAAAAAAGCACACCACTGGAAAGAACCCCTAGAGACAATGGGGAAGCAACCAGTAGAAACTAGGCTTGCCCCTTGCACTCCTCTTACCTGGACCCGGTCGGGCTTCCTTTAGATCCAAAGACCCATGGGGAACTTCCCTCGGCGCCCGCTCGAACGCGAAACGCGGATTTTCTCACTCGCCGCAAGCCTCGGAGCCTGGGAGCTGGAAGATCCGAATGGGAGACCTAGTGCCTGGAACCCAAAGAACGACCCGTCGAAACGGGAAGCCACCCCCGCAAAAATGGGGGTGACCCCGTTCTTTTTTGAGCAGCTTTTGCGGGTCCAGGTGCGCTTTTTGGTGGGTAAGGGGGAAACTTGACACATGGTGGTTGGATTTGCACGTTTGACGCTCGAAATCTGAAGTTCTCCTCCAAAAAACATGGAATCTGAAAGAGGGTCCCAAAGGAAAATCCGCTTGCTTCAAGTTGCGGACCTTTTCCGAATCCGCTTCCAGCTTTGGCAAAGATAGTGTGGATGGACAAACTCCATTTCGCACCACCTACCCTACCCTGGAATGATTCGAATCCCCTGCAAATGTCAACAAGCAATGGCTTCCCATGGTTTCTTAGGCAGTGCCAAATGGTTTTCGCAACCGCCCACATGGTGATATCAGACTTTTGAACCAACGCTTTGAAACGAGCCGGTTCAAACCTGAAGGTTTCTTCAACCCTCGAGTTCGGCGTCGTGAAAACTCACGCCCTTATGCTTCGGACACAAATTTGGACACCTCCAATTGTGGGTACAAACAGGATAGAATTCCCCTATTTTGGTTTAGACATCCTCTTACTCAAAAGGGAAGTATGCCATTTACATTCACCCTGGTGTACATGAGCAACTGGCTGTCCATTTTTTGGGTACCACCTCTTGCAATGGGTTGGTGGACATTTGTCTCCTGAACTCGGATGTCCAAAAAAGGGTTTCTCTTTCTCTCTCTCTCTGTCTCTCTCTCTCTCTCTCTCTGCCGTTCAATGGGCTGTCCATTGAAAGTTTCACTCCCATCCTTTGTTGCTGTTGGCCCCTCTGCAAAAAGAGAATCACTTTTTGCGGGTATGGTGGAAAACCCAACTTGATTTCAACCAAAAAGTTAAAATCTAAAGATCCAACCCAATAGCAAACAAGTAAGCTCATTTTCTCGTTGCCCAGCCTCCGGGCCCCGTCTTTCGCTTCCCCCGTTCTGGGCCAAAGCTCGCGCCAGAATGCTCGCCCAACTCGTCACAGGCAAAACCCGCACGTCTCGCAACCGACCGCACGGCCGGGCGCACTTGGCACTGACTCCTGGCCAGAGGGTCGAGATAACATGAAGGCAAATGAAAGGTCAAACAAATTATTCTGGCTTATTCCCCTGCCGTTGTTGTCGAAAGTAGACCCCTCTCCTTTGCATCCTTGGCCCTTGATGGCCCCCTAGTCACTAGGCATCAATGGCTCCCCTATGGCTCTGAATCACTGTATGGGTGTGCCATGCTGACGTGTTAGAGTCCCCTTTTTTCAGGTATATCTTTAAAGGAACACCAAAAAAGACGAAGCCGTGTTGGGGTGTCCCCCTATCTAAGACCAAGGTCACTACCCCCAAAACACTACCCCCAAACACCCAAATTTTGTGCAGCCCTAAGAAAGGGCACGCTGATACGGGTCAAAATTAAGCCACCGGGGGACCGCAGGTTTTAATCCTTGGTTCCATTTAACAAATTTCCATTTTGGGTTGCCATTTTCGACCCACAACATCCCACAACCACATACGACCTGTGAAAAGACACCGAGCCTCCTCAAAGCTCAAGGAACACCAAAAGCAACCCCGAAGCCATGTTGGGGTGTCCCTCTACGAAAGGGCACACCCATATGATAGGCCCATATGACATGTGAAAAGAAACCTCTAGAGTGCCCTTTTGTAAGGAATCTTTAAAGGAACACCGAAAGGAACACCGAAGCCATGGGCACACCCATATACCTGTGAAAAGAAACTGATGAAACCGGGTCTCCTCACAGCTCCTCCCGGTCATGGAAGGAGATGGCCAAAGCTACCGGCTGCGTGGGCCCAAACTCCGCCAGCGTCTCCACGTCGCCTCAGGCAAGCGGCGAAGGTGTGCCCCTGGGTGCCCAGTTGCTACGGCTGCTTCGTTAGTGGTAGCTGCCAGACTTGGAGGGATTCTATACCTCACTTGCCCAAAGGACCTGGGAATAAAAGGTGATCACCTTTTGGGACCTCTACTAAAAATGGACCAAAAAGGTAAAAACCAAAAGGTCAGATCAGGTCGGCTTTGAACAGCTGAGATATAGGCCGAACAAAACTCATGGCGTGATCTGATTCGCCCACTGGGCCTGTGATCCTAAGGCTCCCAGGTGAGCCTGGAAGAGTGGGCCTGGTTTAAAGGTTTGGGCCGTTCTCCTTAAGGGACCATTTCCCTGCCAGGTTCCATGTGAAAAGGGTGGCAGATCTGTTCTTGCTTCCGCGCCCGCGAGGTCTCCTCCGAGATTCCTACGCACAACTTCCCGCCCCCCAGCCGCGTTGCTCACCCCTTCCATGCCTCAAAGGCAATCCTTGTTTACTCCTTATTTGCCCGCTTTTGAATCCGGAATTTATGTACCCATATTTGAAGGTGGGCAGCCCGCCCAATTCGAAGGGAATATACGCTACGTAGGTGGGGTACTCTCTCAGAACATTTTTCCCTTCACACCAGCCCCCTTGTCCAGTTTACAATATCATCCGTGATGCGCCCAGTTTCCCCAAATGGCATGGCGAAAAACATGCAATCTCATATGTACTAGTGCCAGGTCACATTCGATCATACTTAGCCATGGCACTGTTCAATTTTGACGAAGAGTCTTACCGCCGAGTTGTTGTGTATCTTTCGTACATGTTTGGCTTGTTTGAGGGGTATCCAATATCACTTTTCCTCCAATCGCCGGCGCCAGCGGGACCAATCGCGGAGCAAACTCTGCAAAATATATTGTATGTTTCCACTAAGGGTTCACCCACACATTTTGATGTTAGCCCAAGCGCGGCACAGGTTTTACCAATCACACACACAACTAACAAGCTATCCAAATACATAAATCGAAGGCATGCATTACACAATCAAGCCTCCCGCGCCTAAGCGGGGCGTTGGGGAACGCCCCCCCCCCCCCCCACACGCGTGGAAACGAAACCCGGCCTTCTGAAGAAGATTGCACAGTCTTTCAACCTAGGTCCTCCAGTGGAGATAAGGGTACCCGATTTGTTTCTGTAGTCTATTTTTGTAGGGGAACCCTCCCCCAAAAAAGTTGGTGAGAAAGGGCACTACTGGGGGAACTAGAAACCATCCAGTCCAATTCCAAGTGCAACTTGGCAAAACAGCAGGGACTTTCCACAACCATTCTGGCGGCAACCATGTGGAAAGCCTGAAAGGGCACCGCTTCGGAATTTGCGGGCTGAAGCCGGCCACTCTTAATGGGGTGTCTTATTCAAAACCAGGGCAACGCCCATCTTGCTGGTGTGAGAGGTTCTGTGTGTTGGGAATGAACAGGAAGGGGATTCCCTTAAAAAGGAAGATAGGGGATGGTTTATTTCGGGGCTCATTCCATTTCTCATTCCCTGCATCTCTCGCACCAGCCAGCAAGCCATGTCTCTGACGTCTTAAGCGGGTGGCTGCCATCCAGGTTGGACCGCTGCAGACGAGCGTTCCGCGACTGAGAGGGGCCACCGATCTTGCTGTAGACCGTGCCCAGCATGGTGTAGTAGATCTTGCCTCGGAAAGTGGTGTGCTCAACTCAGATGCCCAGTGGCCATGGGAAAGAAAGGGCATCCCTTTTTTGTGTTAAGTTTAATGGCGAACCCTTCCCAACAAATGGGAAGAAGCCTTCGCCTTTCAACCTGGTTTTGAGACCACCAACCTTGCAGGTGTCTAATCTGGTCTAGTGGAGGGGTCGGGTCTTCTCTTGGGCGGGAGAGTGGCGGGCTCATAAAAAGTCAAGTCACCCCGAAACCGAAGCGCCCACGAAAAAAACGTAGCCACACCCAAACCGAAGCTGCCCCCCCGGAGAAACACAACACGAAAGTCACGAAAAGGTAGACAAACTGATTTTCCGTGGTGGTTTGGGGCCAGAGGAACCCAGCTTAGAGCCAATGGGTAAAACTATTATAAGGTCGAAACTGTTTGGGGCTTCAACCCACTTTCTGGTATTTTCTGGCGCTCGTGCTGTGAACTGGTCTTTCTCACAGTTTCTGGGTCATCAAGCATTCGTTCTCACATTCTTTGATGCGCGAACTGTAAAGTGGTTGACCTTTTTTGGGAAAAAGGGGCATCTGTCCTCCCCCAAAAGCACTCCTCAGCGACTTTTGCCTCATTGTTTGTTGCTTTTGATGCTTGGAGTGCCTGGGCACGGTGTGACAAACTCCGGCCCGTTTAAAACATTTCAGACCAACCTGGTTGAACAAGGAGCCCCTTTTTGGGGTGGACCATCTTTTCGTGGACAACCTAGGAACGCGGACAGCCCGCACAAAATGGCTGCCTTGGTGCCGCAGTTGGGCCATTCAGCAGTTGGACCAACTATCCAGACCACCTCCTTTCGGTCCCAGGGGGAAATTAGGTTTCGGGCGCTGCGAGAAGCAAAGTTGGCTCTACAAGCTTCGGGCTCAAAACTACAACTGCTCTTCTCCCCGTTCGGCTAGTTGGGGAGACAAACAGCCTGGGCCGGAAACAGAAATCCGCAAATACAACTCCAAAAGCTGAATGAACGGACCTCCAAAAAAAGCACCCTTCTCATGGTGAGCTCGTTCTGCCCCCAGAGCTCGCTATAGGCGAAGAACAGGGCTCCCTATACTTCCCCTCAACACATCACCCGCTCCAGGGGGTACTCACCTAAAAACGGACCAAACAGGTGATGTTGAAAAGACCGCCATTTTCTCACTTTCTCACGATCTCATCCCGGCGTGGAGCTATTGCACGCGGCCGGCCGACGTGTTTAAAACCACCAACAAGGGAAATATAGGGACACCTCGCCCAATCGCACCCGGCCGCGCCGCCTTGGCGCCGGTCCAGCACGATGCCGTGGGGGTCCAGCAGGCCGGTGATGTGTCGGCCCTTCGGCTTCGACTCGTTGAACTCCAACTGGGCGGCTCGGTCTCTGGGTCAAGTCCGGTCGCTTCGCTTCGGTTGCCTTAACCTGGCTGTCCCTGAAGCAAAAACTGCGAAAACGTAAAACCTTATATGCAGAAATTGGTCGCCTAACCCTATTCTCATGATGGGAAGTCATGGAACTTGCCGTGAAGTCATGGAAGTTTCGAGCGGCTTGCCAGGCCGAACAGCTTTTGGCCGAGAACTTTCGAGCTCCGGAACCCAAGTCCGCACTTTGGGTTGGGAACCTCGGGTGCGAAATCTGCGCCCCTGCTAAACGCTTAAGTTTTTTTGCGGTTGAATTCGGAAAACCGATTCATTAGTTGGCAAAAAGTGACTCAGTCCCAACATCCCTTGGCAAAATGCACACAAGGAAACTCCACATGGGAGGTCGAACAGGTCGCCCAAGCCAGGGCACCCCTCCAAATCCTACATGCCCCCCCAAAAGGGGTTGAGCATATAACGCAATGGACCGAGGCCCAAACCCATGAAATTGTGGAAGGGTGCTTCCAAGAAGGGTAGGTACAAAAAGGTGGGCAGTTGAGAGCCCCAATTAGGTTCCTAGGGTTACTTAGGCTCCCGCCTTGGGTTCGAAGCCCGGGAATCGATCCGAACTCGAGGATTGTCGCGACATCCGAGCGGCGGACTTGTTCTGCAGCACCTCCACTTGGCTTCCGTCCAGCTTCGCACGAGCGATCTGAAACTTGCCGGCGTCCGTCCAGTACCTGACGCGAGCTTCTCCGACACAAGCCAAAAGCCTGTGATGGACCTTTCGGTAGGTTTACTCCTCCCTCTCCAGTTTGACACGGACAATACAACTTCTTGCCTTTTCAGAGGAATCTTTTGGGGGACCGCTTCGTTTGGGTGTCATGTTGATTTGCAGGGGAGATATTGAAGTGGACAAGTCATATCTTTCCAAAAGGTATCTCCGGGGCCCTTGACCTCACACAAGTGCCCCACTCAAGGGGCCGGTTTGCACACCCTACAAAGGGTCAACACGAGTTGCTTGCTTAAAGTGCTGCCAGTCATTTCAGCTTCCGGAGAAAAACCAGGAAAGATTAAGCAAATGGGACCCGGTCAATGGTGGCTCCGCCCAAGTTTTCAGCCGAGAACACCCTCTGAAATCTGTTGCGCATCCAATCACCAAAAAATCTACACAGCACCTCAGGAAGTTACCCTCCCACAGCTGCTATGTTTGCGGGACGAAAGGTACCCCCCCAAAAAAAATGCCCCCAAACAACTCAAAGTGACACTTTGTGGACTTGGCACGTTGGTTCTTCCTGGGCAAGCCAAGTTTTTCAGAGAATGGCTCTCAGACCACTGGTGAGTGATCCGTGAAGCGAGACTGAGCGACAAACCCGCTGGACACCTTTTCAGCCAGCGGAGCTCAGCCAACGAAGCAACGAAGCTCAACTCAGCCAACGAACTGCGCACCTCACATCCCAAGCTGGGGCCAACACATAGCCGGCGCTTGCCGCCAACACATAGCTGGCATACCAAGCAAGCCCTATAGCTTCCATTTGGTTAAGACCCCTGGAAATAATAAGCAAATTTTGAGTAGTGATACAGTTCTCTTTTTTTTAAATCAACAAGGGAAAAAGAAGAACATATTCATTTCAGCACATGGAAGGCCTGGTAAGCCTCGTTAACACCAAGGCCAGGCCTTGGTACTGGCCCTTTCCCCGGCGCGTCTAAGCGCAGCTCAAGGCACAGCTGGCCATCGACGGTGTCCACTGCCAGATCCATGGGATATGCCCTCAGCAAGCCGAAGTGAGTCATAATCAAAACCTGGTACAAAAGTGGTCCACCCAGAACCATGTAAAGAATTAAGAAGGCGGCCGCAGCTATTTATGGCTGAGATTGTCCCTTACTACCCTCCAATTGCCCGGGTTTTGACTCCGTTGCGTCACCAAAAAACAACACTAGGTCCTCCAGTAGAGAGGTTGGTGCCAACTTTTTTCTGTAGTCTATTCTAGGGGAACCCTCCCCCAAAAAAGGGTAAAAGAGCACTGCTGGGCACCTAGAACAGAACCTGTCGCTGTGAAACCTCCTCAGATCCCCTGCTGACAGTTTAGCTTTTAGTGGGTTAAATGGACACTACCACTAAACCCTAAAAAGCGAAGGAACCAAATGGCTGGGAACGTGTCGGGTTGCAACAGGCTCCCTCAATGCAACCTGGTAGAGCCATTCATAAGGACGTTTAAAGAACCCTCTCTTCCATTTATGTAAGCCGCCAGACACAAACTACCCAAGATATGGGCACTTTCTGTCCGGCGCCCAAATCTGAGGTGCACTTTCTGCCCGTATTGACAAGTGAAGCCGCTCGCAGCGGCCTGTCATTGAACTGGTGGTTTGGAGCCCCTTAGGTTGGGAGGTTCTCATTGGAGCCCCTTAGGTTTGGAGGTTATCTAAACTTCCATGTAAAAAAGAAAAACTAAATAGAATACCTGAGCTTAGCTTTACAGCTTTTTAGCACACCAGTTCCCTTGGCCAAGGGAATCGTTTACCTCCATGTCAAAATAATAATTAAAAGAAATACCTGAGCCAAGCAACAGCTTTTTACTCAAAAGGACATTGATTCCACCGGGGCTCGTGTGGTTGGTCACCGTCACCACGTCGCTGCCATCGAGTCCAGCACTCAGAATCCTGATGCGACTGATGCGACTGATGCGACTGCTTCGAGTCAAATGGAGGACTCACCGGGGCTTCCGTAGCGGTGCTGTAGATACCCCAGCAAACAGTTGTTTACCTGTTTTTTTTTCTTCTGAAAAGTAAAAAAAAACAACATAAACACACTTTTTTGCTGGTTAAAAGGAACTATGAGGGGAATCCAAAAAGTTAAAGTCTAAAGATCCAACCCAATAGCAGTAAAGATAGAAGGACAATATACGGGTTCAGAAACTAGAATCATGTTGACCCCAGAATAATCAACCACTTGTTGTTATTCATAGGGCGGTTGGCGCCCCTCCAAAAGTGAGGATTCCCCACTAAGCCTGGGGATGCACCCTGTTAGTCACCTTGGGTTGACTAATATGGGGTCAGCATTTGGTTTGTGGGGCAATTACATTCATACTATGTTTAGTCTTGATTATGGAACTATAGGAGAATAGTGTGTATAACTGTGTCACTATTTAGCCCCTTGCAACATATCCAGAAGCCAGCTGCTTTTCAAGGACCCGGATCTGCGAAATCAAAACAGGTAAAAGTGCGGTGCTTAACGGCTCAAATGTATCCTAAGGACCTGATTCACCGGATCTATCGCAAAACCTTTCGAGTAGATGTCTACTTGTTTTCGTCTCTGCTTTTCTTTGGCGGGGCCCTCACAAGCCGAGGGTTCGGGAATTTCAAACGATGTCATGCGGCCCTGAGTGGATTGGCAAAAAAACACCACCATGCAATGCTGTTTGCCACTGAACTGGCCACCCCGAAAGTATGGAGCCCAGAGACATTTCAGGAAGCGAGGCCTGAAAAAATCTGCCAGGCATGCATAGTGACATTCCTTCATTCCCTGCGCCAGCTCTTGGGCCATTGCGGATTTTCTCGCCTTTTCACGAAAGCCGTCCTTCCGAATCCCTCGTGGCCCGGCTGGTCGCACCAGTACATGCGCCCGGCCTTGGACAAAATGTCAAGCTCCATGCGGAAAGAAAAGTCCAAATGACTCGAATGATGAACAGATCCTATTATTGCGTTTTCGCCCCCTGAAACATAAGCATATTTCTAGAAGTGATAGCTTCCTTTTAACACCAACAGGAGAAAAGATGTGTTTAATCAAATGAAAGATGAGGGAGCCCGTTTTTGGGGTTGGCATTTTCTCTAGGAGAACCCACCAAGCAAAAAAACGGGAAAGACAACACAAAGGACTCGGACAAATCGACCGGCAGAATGGGGGGCTGCCCCGAAAGTAGTCTTGACAACCCTCCTGGCGACCCCTGTTCAAACATCCCAGCTGAACCCACAAAGAACCATCTCCGGCCAAGTCTTGAATGGCAAGGCGCAAGCCGGTGATGTCCTAACAGCTCAAGCACTAGAAGACTCCAAAGGGTGATCCATGTGCTGTTTTGACCCGGTCCACAGCACATTCGGCTGTACATTGGCTTCAGGGTAAGCGCGAATGTCAGAAACAAAAACAAACAAATAACATTCCGGTTCCTTTTCGGAAATCTCACATGGCCCACTATCATGGAAGATGACTGGCCTTAGTCCATGTTCATGTGGAAGGCTGTGAGCTTGCAACGTGGGAGGGCGAATAAATAAACAAGTTGCTTTGGGCACAGGCTGCTTGTCCTGTTAAAACATCCAAAGGGAACACAACGAGACAACGCAAACCGCATGGTTCCACGTTCTTCTTCTAGAGTAACATCTCCGAGCAAAAACTGGAGGCGTCCAAACTTCCGCAAGCACCACATCTTCTGGAACCCTGGCAAACTGAATGGAAGGATCCACTCAGTGCGTTGGCGAAAGCTCATTCGTGTTGCTTTGCGACACACAAAGTGCTCTCCCTTCTTGGATGTTCAATTCACTGCAGGCCTATCTCTGGGGTTTGTTGCGACCTGCCTTGTAGAGGGCAAAATAAGGGCAAAACAGGAAGAACCTGTGAAAACCCCTGAATCCCATAAACATTCTGGACTTGGAGGGGGGTGAATCTGGTGGGCCCTTAACACACTATGAAACCATGGGCGTGCTCGGTTGAACAGCCCCCGCCCCCCCCACTCCAACAAGCTCTTGGATCCGACCGAGTGGCTAGGATGTCCAACTCAATGCCACCGGGATCCTGCATCTGCTCCACCAGGACTTGCCTCAGCTTTGGCCTTTGCCAACACCTGCTTCCCGTTTGCACAGGAAAATTAACTCAAATACCCAGTGGCCAGGGGAACATATCCGATAATAATTCACTCAGATGCCCAGTAACCAGAAAATTGGGTGTCCAAGGTTTTTTGTATTGCACCCTGGGGATACACCTGGGTATTGACCCCAATAAGGGCACATTTCCCGATAAAGCCGTGCTATTTTGAACCATTCCAAGGGAAATTCCCAAGTGTGTAATCCCAGTGTAATACAAAAACCCTGAGAATTTGGCCCTTTGGGGCCCGGGTAGACCGGAAATGTCATTCACTCCGATGGCCGGTGGATTTCTAGGGAAAAATAGAATCGGCATCCGATTTTTTCTATGGTTGGTTGAGTTTAAAGGGGACCCTTCCCCAAAAAATGAAAAAAGGGCACCACTGGGCAGCTGAAACCCATGTGCCACAAGTGTCCAAGGGGAGCTAAGTCTGGCACTGCGCATGTCTTTGCCCGAGGGTGCCGCGTTGTTTTGCTGCGAGCTGCTTGTAAAGACGTTGTCAGATTGAGCTGCTGAAAGCAACCGTCAACAACCAACATGTGGGTCCCCTGCATTACGAATTGTATTTATTGTGCATGTTTAGGTTGACATTGCATACACAAGCCCCCAGTGGCCATGGGGGGGAAAAAGGGGAAACACGCCTTGTTTCGTTGGTTGTTTTTGAAGAACACAAGCTGAACACTGACTTTCCCCACTGACGGTCAATGTTGGGGTGGGCTTGAAGGGGAACCAAACGTCAGTTGACCCGTCAAGTTGGTCTGGATTGGTGGTTTGGATTTGGATTTGAGCCCCTGGTTCTTGAGGCCAAACCAATCCAAACACGGTCCAAACCACTGTTTTCGAGGGAAGCTGAAAACGTAAACTCGTCATTTTGAGGGTTCCCCCCATTCGTTTTAATACCCCCCTATGATTAAGAGGGGTGGAGGCGGGGCTCCCTAAAGCTCTCTAAGGAAACTGTTTCGGGAACCTGTTTCGGGAACCTGTTTCGGGAACCTGTTTCGGGAACCCGTTTCACCTCCATTTGGGTTATAAACCAAAAAGTTACAGTCTCAAGACCCGTTACTCAACAGCAATCAAGACCAGTACCAAGAGCCCATTGGCCCATGCAGGTTAAACATAAAAAAGGGAACCCCTTGACACTCCACTAGTGGCTCTTCAGTCCATATATTCCTTTTCTTGGAGTACCAGCGATTTCCGATGTTTTTTCTGGGAGGGATCAGGGCTTCTTGTAGATAGTTCATCATAAAGCCGTTCGGAGCCTTCACCCCTTTTCAGGCGCAGCATCGATATGAAAGCACAACTTGAAAGGAACAGCTTTAAATTGAAAGCCTTTTTGATAGGAACTTTGACAGGGAACAGTCTACCAGTCTAGATCTGGAAGGAAAAGCTTGCATATATTCATCCTTTCGGAATACCAGTGGTACCCAAAACCTGAGGCTCCAATGGCCATGGCTAGGCGCACATGGGACCCATCCAGCCGGGAGCGCATCACGCGGCCCTCCGTCAGCTCCTCAGATCCAAGTGGTTGGATGGAGCGGGCTGCGGGCGGGCAGCTAGCCGAGGGGTAGGCCTGGGCCCTCAAACTACCCACGCCTTTATGTTGTTCTATGTCATATAAAGATACAAGGAATGCACCCCGTTGATGAACAAACACAGAAAATACATAATACAAGGAATGTGCCCCATTGGGAAAAAAAACACAAACCTATACGAAACAAGGAATTTGCCCATAATTTTGTGGCAACAACAACATTGTGTTGGGTAGTTTGAGGGTCCAGGTAGGCCTTTCACCATGGCTACTGGGGAACTATGGGGAACCGAAAGCCTGCCCAACCAACATGAAGCTGGACCCTTTTCCACCCCGAAACTTGCGTGTTGATCTTCGTTTAGGTGTGTCTTTTGGGGGGGAGCACCAAAATGGTGGTGTTCCGTCTGTTTCCCCATGCAACCACAGCAAGAGGTACCCTCAAAAAACATTTCATTTTTTGCTACAGAAACCAGGTCGGACAAACGGCTCGCCCGGATCCGTAATTTTAGATAGCGATTAATAAAAGGGGAGTGAATACAGAAAAACAAATCTCAAAAATATTCACTCTCCTGAAAAGCAAAAGGGTAGGTATTACAGAAAAAAATCTGCCCGAAATCCCGAAAATATGTTCCCTTCCAAGAATGGACTATTTTGGAGGGTTGAAACGTTTGAGTCCAGCCAGAAATGTCTAGAATCTCTGGATTGCTTACTGTCCCAAACCACCAAATTCCTTATCAATCCCTTTACTAGAAGATGCACCCTGACAAATGTTCAAGGGGGTGGCACACGGAACCGCCAGGAAGGCAATAATGCAGTTTGTTTAAGGGTAGGGAATTGTGAACAAAAACATGGCCAGGGCAGCCTGCCAAGAAGAAGAACCAACTAAACCAATTCTAAACTGTAGTGAGTCAACTGAAAAGAATACTGAACTAAGACTAAACCAATTCTAAACCGTAGTGAGCAGCTCAAAGGAATACTAACCAATACTAAACCAATTCTAAACAATACTGGAAAACTACTCAGGCAGGTCCCAGTCTGACCCCATTTTGTTTTTGGGGTTTTCGCTATTGACCCCCCCAATTCGTTTGAGGGGGGGCGGGCCCTTTATTAATCACTCTCCAACATTACGGCTCCGAGAGTCGGGGCCGAGCATCCGTCCAGTAGAGATGGCCATGGACACCGTCCACGGCAACACCTCCTGCGTGGACACCAGTCACCACCTCCTCCGGGGCATTGTGGGCATTGTGGGGCGGGTGTGGAAAGCCAAGCCCCAAAGTTTGCGATCCCGTCGGGCGAAAAGGCGCATCCGAAGGGGGTCTGGAAACTTCGAGGTTCCCTACCCGATAGCTGCGTTGCACGCTGAAACTCGGGTTCTTGCTCTGCATTCCATGCCCTACAAGCATGGCTTGGTGCACAGGTGCCTGGGCGGGGTAAAGTCCGGGCAAAAAACATCCCAGAAACAATAGAGAAAAAACAACACGCGTGCACAACGCTAGGCCAGTAGAACAAAACAAAAACTAGCAATCAACCAAGCAAGCAACCAAGCGAGCGAGCAAGCAACCAGGCAAGCAAGCAAGCGACCAAGTAACCGAGCAAGCGAGCGACCAAGCAACCAACCAAGCAAGCCAGAAAGCAAGTAAGTAAGAAAGCAAGGAAGCAACGTGAAGCAACCAACCAAGCGAGCAAGCGAGCGAGCAAACAAGCAAGCGAGCGAGCCAGCAAGCAAGCAAGCAAGCAGGCAACCAACAATCCAAGCAACCAACCAGCCAGCCAACCAGTCAGTCAGACACCAATGTGAAACACCAACCAAAGCAACTGCCCAAGAAGACTGTGAACACGGAAGCAAGCACAACGCAATCAAGCCAAGCAGTAGGCAACATACATGCCGGTGCAAAAACACCTGACAAATCCACCACACAGGCCAAAACAACAAGACTCAAGAAGCTGCAATCACCAGCAAACTGTTGACTTGGCTGATGGGCATGGGGAAAAGGGCATCCCTTAGACCTCAAACCGCTGGATACCCCAGCAGCAAACATGGAAGTGTCTGCAAAACCCATCGGAAGAATATATATTGCGTTCCCTTTCGTTGATTGAACAAATGCTCGCCCCAAAAATTGAATGGGACGCTCCTGGAGGTGTGTGAGACATGGGAATTCCCGGCAGAAAAAAGGATCACCTGCTCAGGGATCACCAGATTCCTCACTCGCGGCCAAGACGAACAATGGGATAACCCGTTGAAACGGGTTGCCAACATTTGCCAACTATTTTTGACAACCACACCCTGACTGAAGTCCGACTTCCCCGAAACGATTTAAGTCAAGTTGTCCATTTACCGATCGGGTAACCTGGGGTTGCCAACTACTTCTGACAACCACACGCCCAAGACCGAGGCTCGCAACAGTTTTAGTCAAGTTGTCTAACCCGTTTTGGGGTTGCCAAGTGACTGGAGTCAGGAAAAAACGGAGATCTCAGGAAGCGGAAGCTCCGAACGAATCATGTTGACCCAGGATTAATAAACCCATCTCATTGTTATGGGGGTGTTCCCTCCAAAAGTGGCCCGAATCCAACCACTCAAAGGGGACACCCCCCGATCAAAATCAACCAGGAGTTTATTAATCCGAGGTTAACATTAGTGGGTGTCCGTTCGGTGTCCCTCTGAAACCAACCAAAAAGGTAGCACCCTCCAAAAAACAACACAGCCAAACACTGCTTTTTGTTGGGTTTCCCTTTGAAACCCAGCAACAGGTGGTACCCCCAAAAGCAAAAACACACTCAAAATCAACCAGGCGCTTATTCATCCGGGGTTAACATTAGAGCCACAAGATCATGGGGAAACCAGGTCCGAACGAAGTCAAAAGCTCCGAACGAAGAAAACCTCTCAGTCCTCCAGCTTGCTGTCCTCGAGTCTCAGCTTCATGATCCGATCCGAATCGTCATCCGAGACCCCGAAGTACCTCGGCAACTTCAGTCGGCCAAGGTAAGTGGCGAAAAGCCTTGCGTGTTTGTTGTTTTCCATTTTTGTGAATGAAACATAGGGCTGTCCAGTTTATAGAAACCATCCAGTGTTTTTTGGGTGAAACATAGGGGGTGTCCAATTTATAACAACCATGAAGTTGTTTTTGGGGTGAAAGATAGGGGTGTCCAACTTGTAACAACAATAAAGTTAAGTTGCTAATGACCTCTTTTGTGGGTGTCTCTTTAAAAGAAAGAAAAAACACCAGAAGGGGACGCCTAAACAGGGGCGCCGAACCTGCAACATCCATAACAGTCTCTGTCTAGGGCAATTTGTATGGGTATTTTAATCCGGCGGGTTTCTCATCTGGTGGTCATGCTGGTGCGCTGTCCAAGGCGCAATGCATGGTGAATATCATCCACCGCAATGCCCATCCTCGGACCAGCCCATGGTTCTAGGGGTTGATTCCCCATTCTTTCCAACCATCGTTCTTTCCAAAAACCAGCCATTTTCCATGGGTTTCCATCCCTGGAAAAATTCGGAATGAACCCCTAGAATGGTGTGAACAGTGAGTCTAGAAATAAACATTGGAACACTCGTCCCCTTTTGCTTTCGTTTTGGTCTAAACAAAATTGAGCAGCGCCTGAAGCCCAGCACGATCCTTCAAGGTATGCTGAACCTGTCTTTGAACTGCCATTATGTTTCAACCTACCCAGAGGCTCCTGGGGCTTTCAATGGAAGACCCGACCCCTCCATCAGATTTCGGAGGTGTTTGGGGTTCTCAAAACCTGGCTGTTTGAGGGCCCAACAAAAACATCGGGAGCCTCTGGGTACGTTTCAATTCTGGGCTGCCTGGAAGGGTGAACATGAACATGCAAACCACCTTGAACGCCTCTGAGTCAAAGGCTTCGGGAAGCGTCGCTGATTGCATACTCCGATGCACGCATCCAGCTTGAAACAGGCCGTGGTTTTGAGCAAAAGCAGAGTCGGAATCAAAAGCGCGCTCTCAAAACGGTCGATCCCCAGAAACATGCGAAGAATTAAGAAGGCGGCGAAGGAAACCTTTGGTTGGAATCATTCCGTAACGTTCATCTACCCGGGTTTCGATTGTGGCTATAACTCAAGTCATGAGCCAAGGACCTGACAGCAACTTCCCACAGGTGTTATATACTCTTTGTTTGAGCTAGAGAGAAACCTCTGGTTTGCATTCCGTGGGAGGGAGCAACGGTACGCTGGCACCCTATCAAGGGTATGTTCAGGTATGGCCGTTGGAGGTAGGAATGCTTGTACCTACAGCCTCGATACCTGCAAAACCCATGCAAGCCCTAACATGTTTAAGTCATTAGTTGATGTCCTCCTCGTTTCCCTTTGAAGGCAACTAAAGCCTCTTGTTTAAACACTTGCCACCAACCCTAGCTCTCGAAAAAGTTGTCTCGGTACTCTGGTATGGCCTGAGTATGAGAGAGTTGAGGCTCGATAAATGGGACGTGTTAGTCCCGGCTTGATCACGTGGAGGATTCACCTCCCCCGGCTTAGAGTTCTCCTTGGCGAAATCGGGGGCCATGCAAATGAAACATGTAGCCAGGTTAGCAGAACCAAACGGCAAGCGGCTTCGGTTTGGTAGAGTTGTTGATTTTTTCTCCAGTGATGGCTACACAAACCTGTGTAATCAAGCTCAGCAGAACTAGTCGATCGCATTTGGGTACTGAACGGCAGTTTGATTGGCAGCGCGTCTTGGCCTGGCAGACACTTCTTAGAACCCCCCCCCCCCCCCCCCCCGCATTTGGGTGTCTTTTTTGACGCTACCCCTTCTTCGTTGGCTTTATAGCGCGCCAAAAGGACACCAGCCACTTTTGAGGTCCCCTCCCTCCAACAAAAACACGGGAACTGCTTCATTTTTGGGGTCTCCAAAAGACAGGCGCACACCATTTGCCCCTCGTCCGCTCCGGGAATCCGGGAACATCGATGCCTCCCCTCGTCTGCCCCGCTCGCTCGCGCCAAGGCGCGGGTGTGGGAGCCCTTCGGCCAGGACCACCTCGCGTCCGACGGTCGTCGTTGCAGCCGACGGCCGACGGGCTGAGGCAGACCGTCAGCCCATACTGTGGATGGACAAAATCCTGCACCACCCAAGACACCATGGGAAACCACTGTCTGTTGGTATTTACAGGGGATCATATTATTCTAGGGTTTCTTAGGTGGTGCAGGATTTTGTCCATCCACAGTACTTTGGAAATCCCCAACAGGTTGTCCAAGGGGGCTGGTTCCCTACACCAAAGACAAAGAAATGTCGAGGATTGATTTAATTAAGGGTCGAGATTTAATTTGGGATTTATTTTTTTTCCGTCCTGGCTACTAAAATGCTGTAATTTACAGCATTTTCTCGCGAAATGTACGTATTTTACGCTAGTCCGTCAACATCATCAGCATCGTTTTCAACATCCCCCGCATGTCCAGCCAACATCCCCAGCATCACCAGCAAATTGGCTTCCCGCATCTCATGGTAAAAGTGAGGATTCAAATACGGGCAAACTAATCCCTGTAAAACACCTAAAACGTAGTTAGGGCCAAAAAAATATAAAACAAGCAGCGCGGGGGTGAACAGTTCCACTACGGCAAGGCCTCATGGTACAAGTGAGGATTCAAATACGGGCAAACTAATCCCTGTAGATCGAAAAAGTGATGATTCAATCAGGGGCAAAAAGTCTAAAAAATAGCGGGGGGGTTGGGGGGGGGGGCGGCAGCCCCCCCCATGATGATCGAAAAATTAAGGGCAAAGAATCTAAAAAGTAGCGGTCGCATGATGATCGAAAAAGTGATGATTCAATTAGGGGCAAAAAGTCCAAAAATAGCGGGGGGGTTGGGGGGTTGGGGGGGGCGGCAGCCCCCCCCACGATGATTGAAAAAGTGATGATTCAATTAGGGCCAAAAAATATAAAAAAAACAGCGGGGGGGTCATCAGTTCCTCTGCGGCAAGGCCTCATGGTACAAGTGAGGATTCAATCACGGGCAAACTAATCCCTGTAGATCGAAAAAGTGATGATTCAATCAGGGGCAAAAAGTTTAAAAAATAGCGGGGGGGTTGGGGGGGGCGGCAGCCCCCCCCATTCAAAAAACAAAAAAAAAAAAAAAGCAGCCGGGGGTCATCAGTTCCTCTGCGGCAAGGCCTCATGGTACAAGTGAGGATTCAATCACGGGCAAACTAATCCCTGTAAAACACCTAAAACGTAGCGGGGGGGGGGGGGGCGGCAATTCCCCCATGATGATTGAAAAAGTGATGATTCAATTAAAGGCGCGGGGGGGTTGGGGGGGGGGCGGCAGCCCCCCCATGATGATCGAAAAAGTGATGATTCAATCAGGGGCAAAAAGTGAAAAATTTGCGGGGGGGGTTGGGGGGGCGGCAGCCCCCCTCATGATGATCGAAAAATTAGGGGCAAAGAATCTAAAAAGTAGCTGTCGCATGATGATCGAAAAAAGTGATGATTCAATTAGGGGCAAAAAGTCCAACAAATAGCAGGGGGGTTGGGGGGGGCGGCAGCCCCCCCCCCATGATGATCGCAAAAGTGATGATTCAATCAGGGGCAAAAAGTCTAACAAATTGCGGGGGGTTGGGGGGGGGGCGGCAGCCCCCCCCCATGATGATTGAAAAAGTGATGATTCAATTCGGGCCAAACAAATATTTTAAAAAAAAACAGGGGGGTCATCAGTTCCTCTGCGGCAAGGCCTCATGGTACAAGTGAGGATTCAAATACGGGCAAACTAATCCCTGTAAAACGGCACCCCCCCCCCCATGATGATCGAAAAAATAGGGGCAAAGAATCTAAAAAGTAGCTGTCGCATGATGATCGAAAAAGTGATGATTCAAATAGGCGTGCATTTTAATCGGAAGGGGGGTGGCGGGGGGCCCAGAGAGGAACTTGCGATGCTGAGGATGCAGGAAGCCAACTGGGAAAGCATCAGGATGCGAAAAGCCAAAGCCAGAAAGCCGCCAAAAGCCAAAAAGCCAAAAAGCCAAAAAGCCAAAAAGCCAAAAAGCCAAAAAGCCAAAAAGCCAAAAAGCCGCCAAAAAGCCACCTGCCGCAGCGGAACTGGCAATGCAGAGGATGCGAAAAGAGAGGAACTGTGAATGCAGATGATGCGAAATGAAAAGCCACGAAAGCCACAAAAACCCACGTAAAAGCCACAAAAGCCAAAAAGCCGAAAAGCCACCGACCCTGAAAAACAAAAATAATTCCTAAAAAAAAACAAAAAAAATCCTAAAAAAATGGCCCTCCTTTAATTAATGAAAGGGAGTCTATCACTGCACTGACCTAACAATAGTGGTCCCAGAAAATGGTCTGGATTTGTTGGTCACTGTTTGGGGTTGGTTGCCATTTTCGTGGTACACAAGCAATCCCAGGATTTTGACCAACCTGCTCACGAAAAAAAGACTAATTGATTCAGAGACGACTATCAAGGGGAGCCATACTGTGGATGGTTGCGAACTCCATTTCGCACCACTTTGAAACCATGCTTGAAACCATTCTTGGTTGGTGCTTACAAGGGAATCATCATTTCTAGGTCTCTAGGGTACCAACTTTTTGTCAGTCTAGTTTAGTAGGGGAACCCTCCCAGCCAAAAAGGGTAGAAGGGCACGATCCCGGGGGACCTAGGCTCAGTGGTGCAGCAAAGCGTCCATCCAGCTACCACAGACCCGGAGGGCTGACACCATGGATCAAAGGGAACCCCGGACACCAACGCATTCCTTCCATTTGCTTAAGCCCCCTGGAAAAAAGACAACTATGTCCAATAGTGATAGATTCCCTTTAAAACCAACAGGGCAAAAAAGAACTTAAGCACATGGAAGATTCCTCTAAGTACCCTTGTTGTTTGGTATGGACTTTGGAGGCGCCATAAGTAAACCAAACTGTGTCAACCCGGGAATACACAAAAATCATATCTCCAGATTCTCCCTCCTTTTTAACCTGGCCCACAATATCGAAATTTCGCAGGAGCCCCCCACTGTGGGACCCCTTGGCCATCCCTACGGAAAAAACAACACTTCAAACCGTTCTTTTTTCCGGACCCCCCTTGGCTGGATCGGATCACGGAGAAAAAAAAGACGGAACACCGATGAAACCGCCCATGCCGAAAACCGTGCCCCGTGCCTGCTGCTGTCCCTCCAGGTTGCTCCTGAGGATCCGATTCGGAAAGTTTTGCAGCAGGTACAAGACCTGCGCCGAGGAACTTCTCCAGATCCTCGGCGCCGAGTCGCGAGTCCCCGCAAAAAAAAAAAACTGGGCTGGAAGAAGGGGACCCCAGCATTAAAAACAAAAATGCCTGGGTAGTGGAAAACCAAGGGGACCCCAAAAAAGAAAAAAACACAAAAAAAGGGGGAGCTAGTTCTGGGGAAGCAAACAGGCGAAGGCGCGCCAAGGCTCACCAAGGAGGAAGCGGAGGAGGCGCGAGTGGAGAAACTTGGGTAGGGTTAAAAAGGGCGGAAAAGGCAGCACACCGACGTTTTGGTCAAAGTCTGAAGCTTCGGCACTTGGAGTTTGCGCATGTTTGGCCACTTTTTGTTCGCTTGCCAAGTATGGAGCTCAGATAGCTCAGGAACTCCGGCTCTAAGTGGCTGCTAATTGCATCCAAGGTGGGACATGCGAATCCGCCAGTTTGTCACTTCAGATCCGATCAGTCGCCATTGCTTCACCGCCATGTTCCGACTGAAGCTGCGCAAGGTGCAACCCCTCGATCACCACGGCGGTGAACCATGCCCGGGCGAGTCGATCGTACCGAGCGGTTGGACAGGGACACAAAACCTGAGGCTTTGTGATGGCGCATCACTCTATGTTCCCAAAATATGGTGCTTATACATGAATGAGTAAACAGGTGAATTGATAAACACCTAGATAAACAAATAAACAAACACACACACACACACACACACACACACACACACACACACACACACACACACACACACACACACACACACACACACACACACACACACACACACAAAATAAGATGATTTTAGCCAACAAATAAATAAACATCCAACAATAAAACACACATTACTAAAAAAAAATACCAAGCACAAACAAACACAGAAACAAACCCACAATACACCACCAACCCCACCGTCCCGCCTTGTCGCCAACGCCCTCCAAACGCCCCAACGCACAGGGGCTCGGCCGAGAACAAGCGACCCGCTCTCTCTCGCTCACACACCCCCACCCACCCATGCACGCACGCACTAACAAGCAAGCCGAGGGATCCACCAAACACAACGCGCAACGCCGTAAAAGTACTTCCCCTGTCAATCAACATGGAATCTGGAAGGTAGTCCCTGCAAAGGTTCCTTGCAAAGGGGTCAAAGGAATCCGCAAAGTAAACGTATGCATCGCATTTTTTCTCTGGGAGAAGTAGAAACTATCTGTTGAACAAACAGCAAGAACAACAAAGTGTTTTTTTCGGGCTTCGTGTCAACTTAAAGGAGTGCATGTTCGACGCAAGAACACCGCCACTGACACTTGCCGAGCAGCAGCAGCAGCAGCAGCACGATGCGCATCATGGGCCATGAATCTCGTCCGTCGCGCCCGGGAGGGGGTGGGGGGTCTGCGAAGGGAGGCGCAAGTGAAAAGGTTGATTTGCTTTGGGCAGGTGAGTGAAAGACACATCTTGGGGGTAATGTGGGAAAACCCAAGACCTCACCACCGAATTCTGCCAGGGGTTCGGTTCTCAGAATCAGCCTTGGGTTGAATATGGAAGGGTTTAGCTGGGTGGTTCCATCAAGGGGAACAGCTCCCACTTTGCCGCCCATACAACTCCCTCGGAAAGAAAATTATGTCGACACGGAAAAAGTAGGCATGCTATCTGCGATCCATCGAGGTCCATACTCCCAACTCAGTTGCCCAAAGAGCTTGGAAATAACAGGCTAGCCTTTTGGGCCCACTAAACGTGGACCAGCATGGGGAAACCAAAAAGCTAGAATCTCGGCGTTGGACTGGCTCAAGTTGCGTCTTAGAGCCACCCCTGATAACGGTTTGGTCCGGATTCATCCGAAGTCGATAGGGACATACAGGCGAGCCCCGAAGCTCACGTTGCTACAATCCTGCGTACAGCTCAATCTGTTTGAAGGGTATACCAGCGACTCACCTGGGTTGACTGGCTCCAAAGAACCTGTGAGCCGGCATCTGCAAAAAAAATCACGGCAAGAGACACGGCCTTGGCCAACACAAAGCTGGAAAAACATGTTGCCAGCCGTTCTTCAGGATCAAGTCACAGGCATAGGTGTCCTTTTGAAACAATAGACGGCTCTGGAAAAATGGTTGGAACCAAAGGCAAACCAGCGCCATCTATGTTCGTCTATGTTCGTCTACATTCTAGCCTATACAAAGGACATATAGGCACTTCCGTGATGCTTGGGCTTCTTGCATTGGAGAGTCCTTGCGGTCCCTAAGTTGGCAGGTCTCCTGTTTCTGGGTCTGAATTGGTAGGTGATGGAGTGCCGGCCTGCCAACAAAAAGCTGGGGGAAATTGTGGTTCACCAGGCATGAAGAGATCTTCAAGCAAGTGGCCTTCATAGATGAGCTTCGTGTTGCCCGGCCCCTACATAAGCTCACTGTAGTCTGCGCGGAAGCATTCAGGATTCAATCCTGTGTTGCCATGACGCAGCATCCAACTGGTGAAAGCGAAACGTCCAGCAGTAGGTGGCTATCTGCAAGTCCTGCTCGCGAGAAATTGATGCCTCCCTTAAAATCACCAAAGGGCAAGCGGGAAACCTTTGCTGACGCCACCTCTACTAAGATTGGTGAAATCTATGGCATTATCGCAGTGAACCATGTGTGTTGTCTGTTGGGTTGAAGCCGCCCTTTTCGGAAGCGCGAATAAGCGAACCCTCAGAAGATCAAAGACAACAGCACGCTTTTTGAGTGGAAGGCTTGCCCTTCAACGGATGGGAAAACTGGGCTGCCCTCAGATCCCCAAAAGCTTAACTTTTAGTGAGTTAAATGGAAACTGCCACTAAAACGCTAAAAAGCTAAGGGGATAGCTGGGAGCCACCAAGAAAAAGAGCCCCCGCTCTCGCCGCTCTTTCCCGCGGGAACGCGGCTCGATGTCTAAAACAATGGGCGGATTGGTCACGGCGAAGAAGGCGTCTGCGGAGGACCTCGGCGCCGCGGACGAAGTCGTGGTCAATCGCCATCCAACGCAGCTTTCTGAAAACAGCGACCTGGACCCTCCTTGGCTGGAACTAGGACCCCAGCAACAAAACACAGGGGACCCCAAAACAGCAACAACATAAAAGGGCGAACTAAGTCTGGGGAAGCCTCAAGCTACCCATCAAAAATGGAGTTCACCCCATGGCAATCCCCCATTTCCAAAAAAAAGTTGGGTCCAGGTACCGGACTTTTTACTTTTGGTGTGGGGCCATGTGGCTATGGGATGGTCAAATTGGCCAAATGTTGGGACTCTTCGACCATTCACCCTCCCTTTCGATCCTTTAGGATGTCGTGCTTCACCACTTCCTTGCCTCTCAATGGAGTCTCCGCAAGCGCGGAATTCCGTCTCTCCCCGTTCCGGTGTGGCTTGCCATCCTCTGGTGACTCTTGGACCGCGGGCAGAACTCCTCAGAACACCAAAAGAACATGAAGTGCCATACGGGATACATCTCTACTCTTGGTATGGTAGCAAAAAACTTTGTTTCTTGCAGACCCCCAGTAAAAATGAACAAACCAAATGACTAAAAAACCAAAAAACATGCCAAGAACAGTGAAGGGAGAGACTCCTGGGAACAGAACTTTGAACGACATGCCTAGCCCTGCTTTAACAAGAGTTGTTCAGTTCTTAGCCGTTTCTAAAAGATTGCTCGTAGCCCTGTAAAAAGTGACTGCGCTGTTTCAGTGCCTGCGTCACTGAGCGCACCGGCGCGTTGATGCGAGTGATCTCCTGACAATTGTGGATTGAACCATCTCCCCGTTGGGCAATTCAAGGCGCAACTGGGAGCAATGAGATATCGGGCCGCCATTGCCAAACATGAGGAGGCATGGCATGGTCATGAGAAACCAGCCGTGGTAACAAGAGCTAAAGGACCTTCTGGGTCTACCATGGTTTTTGGATGCGAGGAGCAGAGCTTGGTGTCCCAAGTCTGGGGAAACGCCCCCCGAGCTAGGTAACGTTGTGACCTGTTTTTTTGGTTTGTGGGGATTCAGAGGAAAGCGGGGGGCGGGGGAAGGGCGTTTGGGGGTTGTTTGGGGTGCGAAGAGAAAAACATCGCGTAGGCAACGATGCATGGCACGCTTTGGGCTTGGGTGGATGTCTTGACACAAACACCTGGGAAAACATCGAAATGTGTAAACAACAGGGAAACCAAAAGGTCCAAGGGTCGATTGTCTTGGTCCTTGATGAGAAAATCAGGAAGCCACAAGAAGGCGACTGTTATATAGGTGAACTCGATTTACAGTACCCGGATCGGTGAGCTGTTTGCATTTTGTGCAAGAGCGCAATCCACTTCTCAACACTGATGTGCATCACCGCGTCACATTGACCACGGTGGAACAACGAAACAGGGTCAAATCCCAATTCACTTTGAGCCACTTGACCTCATCATGTGGCCTCGCAGGGGTCCACCCCTCTTCAGCTGTAAATTGATTTAACTTCAGTGCATTGGCAATTAGCAAGTCCAGACTTGATACCAACTGGGCGTGTCTCTTTTTAGGGGACCCCCCCATGCACTTGGTGGTTGTCATCTTGTCCGTTATTTATTCCTCGCCCGAAAAAGGGCGCATCCTATAAAACGTCCGACCAATGGTTTCCTTTCTTCGGGAATCCCCAACACCCGGTTCATTATCAAAAGCCGGTCTCGTTGTCATTCCCTATCGCAGCAAGAAACACAGAAACACCCAAAGTCTTGAGCAGTTTCTTGGGCCCCGCGCAAGCGAGTCATGGGCTTTCAGTCAATCCCCGTCGCATGGAAAGTCTCAGCCCCCAAAGGGCATCTGGAGATCTGGGAATAAACAATGAATACCTTTTGGGTTGCCATGACCGAACATGGGAACCCAACATAATTCGTAAAACCAAACGGTCATTTCAGGTCGATTCGCCTTGGACTTCTGAGAAGTTCGTGCCTCTTTCTGTTTCTCAGGCAAAACCATGCAACATCTTCACACATGGCATGGAACCTATCCTGCCCTTTACAAAACTAATCCAAGGGTCGTCCTCTCTGTTCTGTACAAAATTCGCGGAGACGGGCGTCAAGGTTGGAGCTTTTGACCAGCCTGGTTCACCACGTCTCTTGCCATCTGATTTCAGAATGGCAGTCGACCCAGTGGTTTTAATGTTAAATGAATTCCCGCAGCGAAAGGAACGGCGGCGAATCAAATGGTCGAGCCGCTTGCGCATTCAATTCGAGCTGCGGAATTCGCAGCAATAAGATCCTCAGTCTTCCAAGTGGGTCAGCGGCAAGGAAACGGTGCGGCGCTGTTTTGCAGATCTGCAGGTCTCCTGGGCATGCCAGAAGGTGTTGCGAATGACGAGCACGGTTTCCGGCTGCGCTGAGGCTTGAGGTGCTGACGCAACCATGGACAGTTCCGGCTTCCCGTTCCTCGCTTGCCCAAAGGAAGAACAAAAAATATTCACCTTTTGGCACCCCTACCAAACATGAACCAAACCATGGAAAACCCAAACGGTCAGATCCGGTCGATTCGCTTTGAACTGAGCTCGGTTGCTTTCTGCTCCCCTGCTAAAAGTGAATAACTTTTATAGTGGGTTTAATTCGGAGAGCCCCTAAAAGTTGGCAAAAAGTGATTCAAGTCCTAACCTCCCTTGGCAAAATACACCAAAGTGAGAGAACCCAAACGGTCAGATCCGGTCGATTCGCTTTGCACTGAGATTCTCATAGAAGAAGGGGGCGTTGTGGCCTCCGTTTATGCGGCGGTACGCGGCCCTCTGCGCGCGAAACGCAGAGGCGAAGCGGCCTTTGATCGAGTGCCACTGGTCTGCGCGCACCACGCACCTTCCATTTGGTTAAGGCCCCAGAAAATATATATATATATATATAGAGGTTCCTTTAAAAAAACAACAACAAGGGAAAACAAAAAACAACAGTGATAGAAGTTCCTTTAAAAATAATAACAACAAACAAGGGAACAATTATCTATATATATATATATATTCATTTCAGCAAATGAGGAAAAATAACAGTAGCGATGAATTCCTTTAAAAAGCAACAAGGGGAAAAACAAACATATTATTTTCAGCAAATGGAGGGCACTGGTGGGCTGCCAGCTGGCGCCCGTCCATGGACTGGAAGATCCAGATCTCCTCACCCATGCTCGCCAGGAACACCTTGAGGTACTCCGCCAAGTGAAAGGCTCCGCCAAAACCTCAGCTGCCCTTCTGTCAAGGGTCTTCCAGTAGAGAGGTTAGAATGAGGGTACCAACTTTTATGTAGTCTATTTTTAGTAGGCGAACCCTCCCAACCAAAAAAGGGGTGAGAAAGGGCACCTGGCTGGGGGACCTAGCCCTCTTTCAGGGGACAACTAAAATAAAAGATCGCCCGCTGCGCCCAAAAAAACCGGAACCCCAAAAAGGGGAAACCACACCTCCAGTTGCCTTTTTCCCTGGGAAAAATGAGAACCTATTTCCAGTAGTGATAGAACTTCCCTTTAAAACCAAAAAAGGGGGAAAACACACAAAAATATCCATGTCACCGCAAATGGAAGCAACAGGCCTTTCCAGTAGTGATAGAACTTCCTCTTAAATCCAAGAAGGGAAAACCCATAAGTATCCATGTCACTGCAAATGGAAGCAATAGGTCATTTCAGGATTGAAAAGGCCTCAGTTGCAAGTGAGCCGCGCTCCCAGTGCTGCAGCCCCAGCTTCTTGCCCACATCCACCTCCACGGACCTGGCGGATGGGTGGGCCACGGGCACCAAGGGGTTGCCGCTGTGGAGGTGCTTCATGCTGAGGTGCACGTAGAAGTTCTGCCCCAGCCTCAGCTTTTGATTTTTCCCCGGAATCGGAAGCTAAGACTCACGGTGATCACCCTTGGGCAACTGAACATCTCACGTCCTGAATGGATCGCCCAAAGAATTTAGGGGGCCACTAAACCACTAGACGTCCTGAATGGATAGCCCAAAAAGCGTCCAAGCTTGGTGCTATCCACTGACAAATTGGCTTCCCAAAAAGTTTAAAGTCCAGGAACTCAGGAAGTGAGACATGGACCAAAATGGGTGTGCCAAATTTTGAAGCTACGATTTTTGCGGGTCTGGCTTAACGGAAACCCAGCAACAGAAAATAGCATTTTGGGGGGTGCCCTACAGAACACACGGCCCCAAATGTGCGGAACTTGAAACCACCGGCTCAAAGTTCGACTTTGCTTCGGCCAGTGGGCGTAATGGCCTCCCTGGCGCCCAAATGTTTGAAGAACCGTGCGTAGGACCTCTCCAAACACTCCACCAGCTGGGCGAACTGCAGCTTCGCCCAGCCGGCGAAGTGGTCGTCCACCATCCGCCAGACCAAAACCAGGCGGTACCTCGATGAAGCTCGCGAACAGTCTGGGATCGGTCTGGGCCCCAGCACAGATCTGAGACTGATCTTTTGCAGCCGAGCCAACCAACTCAGCTGCCCCTTTAGGGACCCAGAAATAAAAGGTGATCACCTCTTGGGACCTCTAAACATGGACCAAACATGGGAAACCAAAAGGTCAGATCCGGTCGATTCGCTTGGGCAAGTGAGCCAATGAACAGAACCAACAAACAAACAAGCTTGATCCAAGAACAGTGAAGTCGCGCCAAAAGACAACTGTTTGCTGTTGAGTAAAGGTCGACTTAACGACTCAACCAAATGCCAACGGGGGGACTTGTCTTTTTGAGGATACATTTTTTGGAGTGGCTGAAAGGGAGACCAAAAGGACAATTGCATCTGGACCCTCAAACCCTTAAAATGCGTTCTTGCCCCCCAGAATAGGCCGCACTCCCTTCTTTTCATTTGTAGTTGCAAGGTCCAGGTGCCACTTTTGGGTGGTCCATGTACTCGGTTGCATTCCGCTCCCCTGCTAAAAGTGAATAATTTTTAGTGGTTTAATTCGGAATGCCCATGAGTTGGCAAAGAGTTTAAAGTCCTAACCTCCAAGCTTTAATTTCCTAGCATCCAAGAACGATGGTTGCAAAAAGGATGGGGAATCAACCCCATAGAACTTTTGGGGAGCCAAGGTTTACGTCCCCCAGTGTACTCACCATAGGCCGAACTCCCTTCTTTTATTTGGCCGTTTTGGTAGTTTCAGGATCCAGGTGCCACTTTTGGGTGGTCCTAACATCCAAGCTAAAGTCCTAACATCCAAGAACAATAATTGCAAAAAGGAGGGGGAATCAACTTAACCCTGTAGAAAGTGCTTTGGGTGGTCCAAATTTACTCACCGAACCCACCGAACCCATCCCACCGAACCCATCCCACCGAACCCCTCCGTCCCTCCCTTCGTCCGAGGCGCTTGCCATTCGCGGGGCGCATCAGCGCCAGGCGCTCCATGCGCGGCCCTTCCTCGGAGGCCTCCGCCACGAAGCAGCCGTAGTCCCCGGGCTGAGGGAAGTCCCTCGAGGCCCTGAAGCCTGCGGACGCCCGAGGGGACGCCCGAGGCCTCCTCCAGTAGAGAGCTTAGAAGAAGGGTTCTAGGGGTACCTTCCCCATTTCCATTCTTTCCAGTTAGTTGGAGCTTTGGGGGCTTGAACCTTTGCTAGGGGTGCATTCCCCATTTCCATTCTTTCCAGGGATCCGATTTGTTTTTAGGAAACCATCAAAAACCCAGGGAAAACAGCCGGTTTTTGAAAAGAGCGATGAAAGAAAAGAATGGGGAATCGATTCCTAGAAGGGTACCAACTTTTTTTCTGGTAGACAGGCCCTGGAATAAGGGTACCAACGTTCTTCTTTTTTTGGTCTATTTTTGCAGGGGAACCCTCCCAAAAAAAATGTGAAAGGGCACGACCTAGGGGCTATGACGAAAAACCTTGATTGGCTTGTTCCCCCCCTGGAGAAAAAAACAAACAAACTATATGTCTGGCAGTGATAAGAATTCCCATAAAACCAACAGGGGGAAATTTATGAAGAAAAGCCTGCGGATGCCCGGGAGTTATGACGAAAAACGTCCCTGGGCGTGTTCGCCCGCTGAAAAAAATGAGCAAAAGTGGGTCTAGTTGTGATAGTCATTCCCTTTAAAACCAACAGTTAAAAAAACAAAAAAAAAACATGGGGAAAAGCGTGATCAGCTTTTGGGCCCATGCCTAAAAATGGGAACCCGCAGCAGGAAAACCAAAAGGTCATTTCAAGTGAAATAAAAAGTCGACCTTTTGGGGCTATGTCAACAACATGAAGAAACCAAAAGATCGAAAAAGTATGTTTTAGGCAAGTGAGAAGCGCATCGTTTTGCCGTGGAAGAGCGCCAAGTGAACTGAGTCCTCGAAATTCCCGAAGAGCCTTGACCAAAGCATCCGCGCCCCTACAAGTTACATTTGGTTTTGCTGGTTGAACATGATGCGGAAAGCCAGACTTGCCCCTAAAAGTTATCACCTTGTTCATGGTTGAAAAGGAAAATGCCGCAAACCCAAAAAGGAACAAGAAAACACCAGGCACGCCTTTGGTCAAAACCATGGTAGGCCAAATTCCAAAGGTAAGCCAGGTGATCCGACCCCTGCAAGATAACTCTTTTGCGGGAACATGATGGAACACACTAGACAAACTCGCTACAGGGCAAAACAATAAGCAAACTGTGTGTTTGCCACATTTCAACGGTCCAAGCCCAAAAAGTGTCTAAATTCAACATGAACTCAGGGAGTGACTTAACTGGGCTGTTCAACATGGAGGGTTGATCCATAATCCCTATAGGGAAGCCACTATAAAGGGGACGAACCGCTAGCTTAACCCAAGGTAAGGATCTTGCGGATTACCTTGAAACCACCAACCAGTTTCTGACTAGGATTTCCGCCCAGCCAAAATCATGACCCCCTTTTGAACAGCCTACAAAGCCAACCAAATCCTCGCGGATCCCGAAATAAAAATCTTCCGGATTGCCTTTGAACAGCGTAGCTTAAAGCAAAAGATGCAAACGCCTTTCGATTCATCTTCGGTGAAATCCACGAAACGACTCACCCAACCCGTCTTCTGGCTTCAAGCACAAGTTGGCTGGAATTAGGACCCCAGCAAAAACATACATTTTTTGGCCTTGTTAGTGCAAAAACCAAGGGGACCCCCCCCCCCCAAAAAAAAAAAAGGAAACAAAAGGGAACTAATTCTGGAGAAGAAAAGTTGCCAACTTTTCGGTTTTGGGCCATGGCTCGTGTTCACCAGGCGGCAGGGCATCCAGTCCACTGAAGTACGAAGGATGGCATCCCCGGGGGCGATGACCTCGATGAGCTCTGAGTGCATGCCCTTGCCAAGGGATCCTTACATCCTGAACATTGCAACTTGTAAATGGTGGTCTCCAGTTCTTTATTGTGTGGTGGAAAAAGCCATGTTTCAAATGTGCGAGATGTATCTTTTAAAGAGCCCTGCAAAAGCTTTTCCCTGTATCTTGCCTTTTAACTTGCTCAAATGGAAGTTAACTTGCCTTTTCCCCAACAGCTGAAAGCTAAAAGTGAATCACTTCTTGTGGGTTCAATGGAAAACCCGAAAGACTTCCCAACAAGTTAAAAGTCTAAAGATCCAACCCAATAGCAATCAAGGAAGGGTTTCAGGTTTTTCCCTTGTGGTTCTCCTTTAAAGCCGAACAGAAGGTTGATTTCTGCTCGCCTGCTCAAAGTGAATAACTTTGACTGTTTAATTTGGAAAACCCATTCGTTGGCGAAAAGTGACATCCCTTGGCAAATGCACCAAAGGAAAGTCCCAATTTGCTTAAGCCCCCTGGGGAAAAATGTCCAAGAGTGATAAACTCCCTTCAAACACCCACAAGGGATTGTTTTGTTTTAGATTCATTTCAGCAAATGGAGCAAAAGGGGAGAGAAGTTAGAGACGACCTTTTCGCCGCCTTCTCCGGGTGCTGCTGGAGGTAGGTCTGCCACAGCTCGGGGCGCAAGATCACGCCGGGCTCCAAGTCGACGCCGTCGAGGTGGAGCTTCACGAGGCGCCCGCCCCAGGGACAGTCCCGGTGCAGAAGCTGCGCCTGGCGAAGCCGTCGCGCCGGCGTCAAGCGGGGACGCGGCGCAGAAACGGAGCTGGGGTGGTCCAAACCGTACGGATCGGATCCCAAAAAGGGGGTACTGTAGGTGAATTCACCACCCACTTTTGGGCCTTAAATTTTCGTGGGGATTGGGATGTTCACTGGGGGTACGATCCGCGCCAAGGGAAAACAGGCGGCTGCGGCTCCAAAACATGTACCCAAAATGGCGGCTTATGGAACCAAAGGCTAAGACGTAACTGTGGATATTTAATTTTGAGCCACACCCAGGTGTGTGTGGCCGCTAAAATGGCCCAAATCCCAAGTGTTCAAAGTTCATGAACTCAGTCAAATGGATACGATTGGACCAACCTCAGTTCCCATGGCAGCCATACTTCTCACCCAGGTGGCACACATCCGAGCGCACTCCAGATTCAAGCTTATCTCAGTTGCCCAAAGGACCCAGAAACAAAAGGTTCACCTTTTGGGGCCATGACGAAATATGGACCAAAGTAGGAAAACCAAAAGGTCAGATCCGGTCGATTCGCTTTGAACAACTGATGGACTCAGAAAGCTTTTCAGGTGATTGGCGCTTCAAAGGCTCAACCTCGAAACTTGGAGCTTGCTGGTCACTTGGCTCCCCGGGTACCCCGGGTACCCCGCCTGAGGCCTGGCGCACGCGAGCGACCAGGTCTTGCGGGACAGCAGGTCCGGCACCACCTGGAACCACTCCGCCACGCTCTGCGGCTTCATCCGCGACAGGAATGCCCAGCCAACTTGAGCCGAAGCATTTCGTTTTCCTCGCGGTCGTAAAAAGGTCCGTCCAGTCCAGCTGCTTCGGCCCCCGGAAAGCGAGCGGATAATAATTCAGGGTAGATGCTTTCCCGGCCCGGTGGAAAAACCGAAAAGGGACACATAAAAACAAGAACAAAGGGAAACAGTTTGGCAAAAAAGACAGTTTGCTAAAAAGCAAAGGGAAACAAGAACATATAAACATAAGTTTAGCAACTGGAAGTGTGCAAACTTGTAAGTGGCCGGGAATTGCAGGGACTCTCCGAGGGTGCTACACTTGGGCCCTGCTTTGCTTTCAAAACAAAACAATTTTCCTTTGGCTTCCTCTTTGGGAAAATTGAACATTGCGGCGTGGTACACCGCCCCTTTGTGTGCAAACCCTCTTTCATCCGAAGGCCAAAGACCACTAAAGATCTTTAATCGAGAGCTGGGCTTGACTGCAGGGAAATGGATGAGGCCAACCTCCCCCACCAAAAAAAAAGAACACACACACACACAAAAACAAAAAGAAGAAACGAGCTGGGGCCATGTTAGCTTGAACACACAGAACAGGTCCAATTCAAAGCGCCTTTGCTCTGTGGCGTGACCGTTTCATCGAAGGCTGTCGGGACTTGGGGCGAAACCTGGGCCCTCCTTGGTTGACGTTGAAAGGGGAGCACAACAATAATCATATTTTAGCAGTTCAGTGGTTAGATTTCATCCACTAAACCACAATAAGCAAAATGTAAAATGTTTGCCAACAACAACCATGCCTCTGCAAAAAGGATTCACGTCGAAAACCGTTTGATTTCAAACAGTCCATCGATCCGTTGCCCAATTGCAATCAACACCAGTACCCAGAGCCCATTGGCCCACTCGTGCAGGTTTCACTCGACTCTCGACAGGCGGCCCTTCAATCCATATTCATTGTTTGGGAGTACCAGCGATTTCCGGTGTTGTGCTGGGAGGGATCAGGGCTTGTTTGTGCTTAGTTCAGCCTAAAGCCGTTTCAGAGGCCATCGCCCTGAGTGCGCAAACCACAGCAAAAACAACAATGCTTGACAGCTGTCCCCCGACTCAAACCAGGTAACCAGGCGCGGTACCAGGCACGCAACCATTGAAGCCAAACTCAAAACACCTTGGCGTACGCCGTCCATCCAACATGCGTTGGATGCGGGTATCCACGTGACGCGCGCTAAAAGCTCGGGTTTACTAACCCCTGGTTCCCATTACTTGGGGTTGGATCTCTTGATGATTCTTTCCTGAACTCTTGCTTATAGGTGTTAGGTGGTAAGAATAGTAAAACCTTCACAGGAGGTTCAGATTTTAGACAAGCAATCTGCAAATTATACAGTATTTCCAAAAGAAGGAAGGACTCTGAATTTGGAAACCTGAAATTTACTGATTGGATTCCCAAGCAAAGGACCCTGCTTTGCAAGGGGAACTTTTAGGAGATCCTCTAAGTCAGTCGGTAAAGTTTAATTTTTAGTTGGCCCTACCGCATCGCAGGGACCCTGATCATGCCGGATTCATAGGATGTTCTCCCCACGATTCTCTCAGCGGGACAGCCGCCGAATAACTATGGGCTTGGCCATGCCCATGGATATAACGGAACTAGACAGTCACCCTATACTTCCCTTTGGTTAAGACCCCTGGGTTAAAAAAACAAAAAACATATTTCCAGTAGTGATAGATTCCCTTTAAAACCAACCGGGGAAAAACAAATCATTTCAGCAAATGGACGTATATATAAAACATGGCCAGAACTTCTACAGCAAGCATCAGACCAAGCGGGTTGCACATCCAAGCGCTACTCCCCGGCTTGGGATGCGAGGTAAGGACAGCCAGCGGACCAAGGACAAAGGACAAACGGTAGCCCGTCTTGCGGTCGCCCATGGTAACCTGGAAACTGTGCCAGAACCAAAGTAAACGTGAATCGCGAGTCAGCCGCTTGCACCTGCAAAAGCAATGTGCTTGACAGGGACTCTTGGATTTTCCACCCCGAATTTGGTGGATTCTTCTGGCCTGGTAGAAAAATCCGTCAAAGGGCCACCTTACTGAAAAATGCGGGGAATGACCCGCATGATCCTTCCCTGTGGTTTCCTTTCTGGAGAGATCCATCCCAAACCCCCTGAAATTCCCTGCTGACCTGCGACTTTTCACGTAAGCCCCTTCTTACCTTCCTAGAAGGGTCCGGGAGTGGGTGGGGGGGCCCTAATCTTCCTTCAGGCGCAAGTGGTTTGAGAAGCTTCCAGTCGCTCCTCCATTTGCCGTTTTCGTCCTGGAAAAGAATGAGGCACTATTTCCACTAGTGATATAAATTCCCTGTAGAACCATGAGGGGATAGAACTATTAAGCAAATGGAAGTTAACCTGCTTCTCCAACAGCTGAAAGCTTGGTTCTTGGTTGCTGTTGACCTCTCTCCAAAAAATGAGCAAATATTTCCAGCGTCACCCACAAGCGTCGCAAGAAACTTTTAAATCAAAACAACAAATCCAAGCAAATCGAGTACAACCATGCCGCTGACTGTTGGCCCGCGCGCGCTCTCGCGCATGCGTGCCTCCCGGTAAGTCTGCAGGCTCCCGCCCTCCGCAACGGCCTGGGGCTCGAGCGGTGCGGGGAGAACTTCCGTAAGAGTACCCGGTGAAAGCTGGGCCCTCAAGCAGGGATCCTTACATGCATTCTACACCTGAACCTTGCAACTTGTACATGGAGGTGTCACAGGTGTCCCTTTCTTTTGGTGGAACATGTATCTAAGCAGCCCTGGGAAAAACTACTAAGAATGACAGATTGCTCCAAACACTATGGGGTGACATTTTCTGGTGTAATTATGGATAACCTGGGTGGTTGGTGTTGGGTTCTCCCGCTTTTTTTCTTTCTCTCTCTCTCTGCCATGTCCAGCAAATGGTGCCAAGTCGGTGTTGGGTTGGTAGGTTGGGCTTAAGGCTGGTGGGTTGGCCGAAATATCTATGAGGCACTCGAACCCCCAGTTGCAACCAGCGACCCGACAAGTGGAGGGGACCAATTCCTTTTTAGGGTTGGAAGTGCAGAATCAAGGGAATCCAAGCTGAAGGGTAGCCGGTTTTCACACAATGCCAAGCATGCCGTGGTCGGACATGCGGCTTCCGTGATGGGAAGTCGACCGTAATGTCGCCCCCAAAATCGGCCGCGACGACTGGCACGTCCAATAGGGGTCAAGGACAGCGCTAGTCCTTCCTCCATGGATGTCGTACTAATGTTCACCCCGGACTAATAAACCCCTGATTGACTCATAGGGGGTGGCCAATTCCTTTTAGTGGTTGGCTTCGGACCACTTTCGGAGGGAACACCCCCCCCGAGAATGGGGCGGGTTCAACATTACGATAAAGTAAAGATCTCCCTGCGCACCGCCCCACCCTGCACAAGCTTACAGGACTAGGAACAAGCGCAAGTTGGCAAGCGACCTCTACCTGCCTCCCCGTCTGTGTGGTCAGCCCAGCGCAACACACCAACATGGTAAGATACAAACCAGGCCTTGGTTTGTCGCGATTCTGTTCATCAGTCGAAGCTTATTTACTGCACATGACAACGGCCAGCACCCGCTTTTCAACAGCTCTTTTGGCCTCACACGGACTGGGATCAAGCTGGCGCGCTGCACTTTAAACAATTGGCAAGGCAGCAGCGTCCGCAGCTTTGAAGGAGCGACATGGCAAATCGAGCGAGCGGCTTGATGCGCAGGGCGGTCAAACATGCACCGCGCCCTGAGGCTTTGGTGGCACACGGCTGGGCAACCGCCGCCAGATGGCCGCGGAATGCCCGTGGCAGCCCTGACGGCATGGCAAATGTGGCAAAGCGTGGCCGGACGAAACGGAATCTTCGGTACATTCCTGCGTGAAGGGGATCGCCAGCAGCTGGACAGGCCGTTTCAAGTTGGCAGTCTGCAGAGCATTCAGTCCACAATATCTCACAATGCACATCCAACAAGTCTGCATACCCATAGTTTCGATCATCAGTTCAATCATCAATATCTACGGCTACATCATCCGTATTGCGCGATGTTCGATAACTTGGATTGTCACTATGACTTGCTTTGCTGTGTAGCAAATTGTCCAGCAGACCTAAATATGATCTCCTCAAAATGCGTGCTTTTTCATCAACATATTTCTCTCAAACAAACCAACAGCTCTTCAGGTCAGTTGCGCATCTGCCCAAGCGCACACCCGAACTTGTCCTTTTGATTCTAAGAAGCAGCGTTTGCACCGAGTTTGTGTTTCTCACTTTCCGAGTGGATCGGCCAAAAACTAGTCCAAAGCTTTTCTCCACCACTGAAAAATTATGGTCTGCCCAAAAAGCAAACCCAAAAAAATCCCGAAACTCGGGTGAGATTTCTTTGGCTGGCCCCCACCTCTCGGCTTTCCCTAGCCCAAGCTGGTCACGCTGCTCTCCGCAAAGCTCAGGCCGTGTCTTGAAAGACGCCGGCGAGTGAAGAACTTTTGCGTGTCCGATGGAATATCCCAGCTGCTTCACCCAAGTCAAAGTCCACAGATCCAACCAAATAGAAACCAAGAATCCTGCTTCTCACTCCCAACAAGGGCGCCCATTCCTCTCTCATCGAGTTGCCATGTTCGTTCAGGCCGCTGGTTCTCAAAAGCCTCACCGGCACCGCTCGACGCGCTGCCGCGAGGCGGCCCCGCTGCCCTGCAAGCATTGGCCGACCAGTCTGCGCGGAGTCAAGCCGAGTGGCTAGCCACGAAGGCAAGTTAGAAGCGAACGGCATGGGAATGATGAGGGAAAATCGCTGGTGAAGGCCGCACCTATTGTAAACTCGGTGGATTGAATGGAAGGTGCACCTTTAAGGGGATAGGACAGCGGATATACGCTTTCAGCTGCTTCCCTCGCAGTCCCCCCGGGGGTGCCAATGCGCCAGCCTCACAGTGAGCACAACTTCATTCATGACAGGCCGGCGATTGTGAAACCGCACGTGCGCAAGGAACTTGTATTAGCGGCATAAACCTGCAGCCTCGTATAAGGGCAGGCTTTATGGCAGCGGGGTAAGGACAAACCACACAGGTGCATAGCCTGCTCTAGAGCGACACGAGCCTGTCCATCAAACTGCCTTGCACGAAGCAAAGTAATTGGGGCAGGACTTAGTTGGCCTTCCCTCGGACCATGCAGCCCCTGCAAGCAATATGTGCTCCGCACGGCTCCGAAGCATCCCTAAGCGCCGCTCCAACGTCAGTTCCTGGCTAGCCAATTTCCATTTTTAATAACCCTCCCCAAGACTAACATGGAAGCTTTCAGGCTGCTTGGAAGACTTGGTTCCATTTACATAGGCCTTCTGGGAGCTTCCGTGTTAGCTGGAGGGAGTGTACCCGTCAGAAGGTCTGCACAAGTAACAAACTGCACATCAACAAGCAAGTTGCTTGCGAAATCATGGGCCGAAATCCCGCTGGTCTTCCGGCCGATGCGCTGCACTGCGCTCGAGCCATGCTTGCTGCTCAACTTTGCCCGGCTGATCTACATCAACTGTGCTCTGCCCAGAAATGCCTCTAGTGCAAGAAAGGCAGTTTGCAACCAACATGCGCTCTATTTTGCCGTCACTGGACAAGACGTCGGCGTTCAGATTTCCCACGCAGGCCCTTGCATCTTGGCACCTGGAAAGTTTCGCCAAAGGGAAGTCCCATCAGGAAGGAATGGCTCATCACGGCAACCCACCACCCGGCAATGAGTTGGACGAAGCGCCGAAAGCCTTACGTCGCGCTTGGGACCAGACCAAGGAAACGCTTCGTTGGGCTGTCACGCGGCTCCAGGCTCGCCGATTTCTGGGTCAGCGCTTGCCACAATCACACAGAGAAACAACCCACTGCAAGCATGAATCAACGGATCCCAGCACTCTCTTGCGCTAGTCAAGTCGTCTAGGGGCATGGTACCAGGTTCTTTGACAACGACACAACTGCTCAAAACGGGCCATAGCAGTTGCAACTACATATTGGCGCAAGACCGGGCAATCTTCCGTGCATTCTCGAGAACGCGAAGTACTCTCCACCAAAGTCAGCTGCAGTTCCACCTTACTAGAACAAGGACGGATCACCATCCCTACCAATGCCCGGCGACCAGGTCGCCTGACCATGGCACACTTGCTCACAGCGCATCAACGACGCATGCGCGCAAGACTGGGCAATCTTCCGCGCATTCTCGTGAACGCCAGGCACTCTCCGCCAAAGTCAGCTGCAGTTGCACTTTAGTGTGACAAGGATCTTGGTCCGGTAGCTTTTCCGTGACACCAAAGTGGGCAATACCTATAACTAGTTTGTCACTTCAAGGGGCCCTTGGTATCACAAAAGTTGGCCCCAAACCTGAACTGTCCACAACCATGGGTCTTGAGCTCAGAAGCCACTTAGCCACTTCATGCTTCGCACAGCGCTCAGTTCAAGCTGCTGCTTCAAAGCTGTCCCACAAGCAAGCCCGACCAACAGTAAGAGAGTGCATGACTGGATGAAAAGAAGCTGCAGCACGGCCCAGCTGTGTCCTGTTGCATTTCAAGCTCAACGGGAGTCCTGGGTGACTTCCACCCATCAAAGCACGCACTAGGCTTGGGCATCTGCTCTTCAAAAGCTCACGCAGCGACCTCTGCAACGGCCTGTTGCGTGGCACAAGCTCAAGGCGTGCAACCACAGACTTGCCGCGACGCTGTTTCCCTCGGGCGAGTGCAGAGAAGTAACCCCACAGAAACGCGAGGACACAAACCCATGCAGTGGCCAGGTTCTGTTGCATTTCAAGCTCAGTCTTGGGAGAGCGTCTCCGGGCACAGCTTGGCCCTTCAAACATGCAATCGGCTTGGATGCTCCAGGCTCAAGCGACAGCTGGCCAATCGGCACGGGTCAAAGAAAGCCCAAGCACAGCAAAGCCAGGTGGCAGCTCCTGCTGCTGAGTGGCACAAGCGCCGCGTGCGTGGCCACGATCGTGAAGCGCGGCAACTCAGTTTGGGCATTGTGCAAGTTGCCCCAGCCCAGCACACAGACAGCTCGACGGCATCAAACGCTCTCTTGGCCTCTCCCATTTCAGCTTCGCAGTGAGCTGAAAGGCTCCCTTCCACAACCGACTATAACTTGAGCATGGCAGGAGAGGTCACGTGTGTCTTGGCCTTGGGCTCCCACAGTCTGTTCTTGATGTTCGGCCCTTCAAAACACGCACCCGGCTTGGGCGCTGTTTTGGGTGAGCTGTACGTTTCCTGGACGCAAGTCCACGCACGGGCTCGGGCAGCACCGCATTCTCATGAACCCTGCCGCAGCTGGTGCAACTTGACTAATGCTTCGTGGAGCCATGAGTTCCCTTCTTGCAAGCAGTTCCGAACATGTTGTTTATCTCCCCTACCTTGGGGGGGAGAGGGGTGGGGGGTCCCCCAATTCCATTTATTTACTCTTCCCCACAAAAGGGAAAATGGCCCCATAAATGGAATTTCAGGGGTCACCCCCGATGTTGTATTTGAGGCTCACGCAACGGCACCTGCAACAAAGGCCAAACCTGGCTAGCTATCGAGAAAAACCATCCATTTAGCCAGCCTACGTGGCCAAAGCGGGAACGCCGCTTAGAGCTCAGAAGGCGCTTCCGCATTTCCCTGCAAAGGTCTAGGGCATAACTTAGACCGCGACGGTCGGACATGCACAAATCAATTTATCGGTCTGCGAAAGGCTCTCCAATTGCAAGCTCGATACAAACTAACGACTGGGCCCGGATTTCACTGGTTGAGTATGACGCGTGGTCATCGATCGGCAGATTCAATATTATGCCCCAGAAAATGATTCTTGAGCCGCCGTGAATCCTCCTCTCGCAGTTTGGCTTACAACTTAAAGACAGTTCGGGAAGTCCGGCCTCGAAGGCAGACTACTTCCGCAAAGGACACACCTATCCCGCTATCCAGGCGAGCCAAAACTTCCCTTCGGCAAAGCTGTGCCAGCATGTTGTAGCCCTTGCTGTTGCGCTCGAAATCGCATGCTTGCAGCACAAGGCCTGGCAATGGGCTGGAAAGAACCGTGTGTGGATAATTTTCTGCCAAGCTGGGGAGAACAGACCATAGCACCGGAGAAGGCGGGCTTGGTTGAAGCCTTGCCGACTACAAGCTCGACATAGCTCGACAATAGTCATTGGTCTGCCCTTGAAGACCTAAGGGCAAACCTATGCGAATGCCTGTTATGCATCTGCGGCAAAGGCCTACCCAAATACCGCCCGAAGCCATCAGTTTAGCAAAGCAAGGTCAGCACGCTGCAGCCCCAACCGCTCAGCGCTCGCAACTTGACGCTTGCGGCAAGGGGCTTGGCATCACAGCATCGGTCATGAGCGAGAATGGAGCGCTAGCAAAGGCTGAGTCAGTAGATCTGTCCTGCACCATTGAACGCAGCAAGAAGAAGCTTCTGGGCACCGTCAGCCCCTGTAATTTGCTATTGGATGCTATTTGGCACCATTGGGCGCGTTCGGTCCCTATTGGGCACCGTCGGGACTCCCATGTCTGTTGCCTGACCAGAGTACGGGTTCAAAGTGTTGGATTCGCATGAGTCTGCCGGACGCTCGAAGAGTGATTTAGCTTGCTGGGCGCAAGACGCGCAACTTCCTCACTTTCGATGCGGTGCAACACAGTGCCGCAGAACCGCGGCAATGCACGGGCTCGAGGCCAAGCTCCACAATCCTCCGCCCTAACCCCGTATGCATCTGAGGCATACGAACCCATGGTGCGAAGTCATAGGTTGAGCAAAGCAAAGTCAACAATGCGGAAGCCACACTTGTTCAGTCGGACCTTGACGCTTGCAAGGCGCTTCCCATCACAGCATGGCGCTTCAGGCCACGTGCTTCTTTGCTTCAGTTCCTACACCCAAGTTTGCCCCGCGTGACAAGGACAGCTGCGCTTTTGCGAAAACTGCGCACTTCATATTTGGCTGGAGCCCACCAGACACTCAAATATTGATTTAGCTGGCCAAGTGAATAATATGTAATTTCCCCGAGCTTGACGACTGCCCTGGAATCAGCAACTTGAATAAATCCTTTCTCAGCCAGTGGGAATTGGGCCCGCTGGGCCCAGTGGCCCCCCCCGCACAAAAAAACATGCGTGGGCGCGCATATGCTTTTGATTTTCCAGTTTTCGCTAGGGCTTGCAAGCAGGCTAGCCCACGGGGGCTACAAAGCGGCAACCCGCCGCACAAGAGGATGGAAATGGCCGGTGGCTTGGATAGTTGACCCAAAGGCAAAGGCAAAGTGACAGTTCTAGTTTTCTGGCGGGTCCCCTCATGGTGGCCCTCCATTCTGGTTCAATAAATCGTGCTGCAGGCATGCCACACTTTTGACCCCCCCCCTCCGAGCCACGTGATGGGCCAACAAGGGGGCAGGCGTTGTCATGTGGTACTCATTGCACGGCTGTCTGCGTTCTCCTGGAACTCTCTGACCTCTACTTCTGGGTTCCCATCCGCGCGTAAAATGAGCTTGCCACGGACGGAGGTTTGCGCTGCCCAAGCTCAATGGACTACATAGAGGCAATAGACTCAGTTGTCGAGGTTGCCTCTGCGCTTGCTGGCAGTCAAATCCCGGCAGCGCGGCACGTTACGACGTTGCACGCAGCCTGGCGCTTTGCATATCTTTGATGCACAAAAACTGCAGCTCTGCCAACGAGAAAAGAAATATCAACTCAAAACTGTCTGACTGCGAGGATTTCGGGACGACAACCGCTGACTTCAAATGAAAGACCGGCTTTCCAGGCCAAAATCCCCGTCCAGGTCAATATCACCTGAT